AATGCACTGTTCATCATACTCATCAATCATACTGAAGCGATTCAACCTTGATGAGGGTCTCGGTTTTAAAATCTCTGTTTTATGAGTCCAGAACATCATGAGTCCTTGTTATTAAAACATCGATGTTAAGACGATCAGCGCTCTATATCTCAGTTTTCATACATGTATAACTACTAGGGTCATAAATGTGTCTTGTATCATTTATTCCATCCAGATCATGTTTAGCATCGAGAACGCGGGGTAGGTGTACGTGATTGTATATGTACATCTAAATCACTCTGAAGTGTCATTTTTAAATTATATTTCCTTTGCAATAAAGGTACTTTTGTTGGTTTAATGCAAAAAAATCATGTTCATTGGGGGAAAAAAATGTAAACAATCAGGTTGACCGACTGAAATGGTCAGCTAATATCAAGGCGAATGAGACATATACATGTCTGTTAAAATAAATGATTGCTTTTACACCATAATTGACTGAAATCTGGAATTGTTTGGAAACAAAAATGACGTCTTGAAAAGGCTCAGGGTGAACCATTACTTTAACCTTCAAAAACGAACTGAGAGAAGCATGTTGCATAGGTTAAAACTAAATGAGTTATATACAGTCTAGAAGAAGAAACGTTCTATTAAAGACTCGTTTCATTAATGTTTAATCTTGAGCACAGTTACTTTGAGCAACATGAGCTCTGATGGACAAAGCTGTCAGCGAGATATCACATATAATGAAATATTACAGAACACAGTAAACAAAACCGGCGCTGAAGGTGATTTTCTGTGGAACTGAACTGGGCTTGTTGCCATGGAAACAGGTGTGTGAGGGGTCATAGGTCACACACCAGAGCGCCGTTCTGCTGATTCTGGACAATCTGGCCTTTTCCTCTCACTGTATTCATAGACTTTTCTGAATGATTGGTTTCAAACCGCAGCAGAAGAGGAACAAAAATACTGAAGAGCTTCCAATCGTCCATCAACAAACCTACGACTTCACTTCCTGTTGAGTCGGTCTCTCAGAAAGTGTTTGGTTTCACCAATAACACAAAATAATAATGAAAGCCAATTTTAAGAACCATTTCTATCACGGTCATGACTATTAAGCACAAAATGTTAAACTAAGGCAATAAGCCCCAAGAAGCCGTGGTTTACAGTGAATTTATAACAGCTAAGGGGTGTTGTTAGGTACGACGTGAAGCGGAGTTAGCTGTTATAAATTCACAGTAAACCACGGCTTCACGGGGCTTATTGCTTTTATAAAACGGTTATTCCATATACGTAGTCAGGTTTCACAAAATAAAACAGAGCAAATAAAGTGTAATCAGTGTTGGGAAGGTTACTTTGGAAATGTAATAGGTTACAGATTACAAGTTACCCTATTTAAAATGTAATAGTAGTGTAACTTTTTCAATTACTTTATTAAAGTAATGTAACTGATTACTTTTGATTACTTTTTGATTACTTTTCTAAATTTCTAATAAATGTTTATTTGCAACTGTTAATCATTTTCAAACATTTACACCATGCAGGGTTAACCTTACAGTAGTGCTCAACACTGTCAGACTTTCACAATCCTTCATCACTTGAATTAAGATGATCAAATTTGAACATCCACCACGAAATCAGACTTTAGTACCGCCTTTTACTTTGAGATTGATCTGAAGTTCAATGCAAATTTAAAATCATAAGAAATAGTTTACTGATACTGTTTTTGAAACCAAATCTTTGCATAACTACAGGAAACACTGCATCTAACAATAAAAAAATAAAATAAATGTTAATTAAAAAATAATAAATAAAAGCATATACATCAACTCAAATACAGTTATCTAATAAGCATGTGTCCTACTAAACTCCTGAAACATTGGTGTCTCTTTGAAACATTGGTGTATCTTTGTATGATATGACGATAGTTTTCTCAAAATAGCTTAATATTCACAGACACTAGTCCATATCGCGTTTTGATTCAAGTGTACTGACCTACTTTTGATTTATTCGTCCAAAATGTGGCATATTCCGTCCGCGTTAGGCTAAAGTAATTCAGTTTTTATGACTGGATTCTACGAACCAGTCTGTGTTTTCCGCATCGCGTAAATTATGTCTCAGAGTAGTCAGTGCAATTTGGAAAAGAAATCAATTAAATCTGTATGTGGATGTGTGTAAATATTCAAATGTAATCCCCTTTGTAATCGTTAACATTTTCATAAGTAACTAATTTAATTGCACGTTTTCTTAGTAACTGTAACTGATTACAGTTACATTTATTTTGTAATTAAATTACGTAACGCCGTTACATGTAACTAGTTACTCCCCAACACCGAGTGTAATGATATTAATAAAAACAGTATTCTTCCACCAAACAATGTAGCTCCTCAGAAACAGTTGTGGCTGCAACAAAGTGGTTGCCGAGCAACACACAAACGTAAACAAAGGTGTATGTTACTTTGTAGAGTAATTTCCAACAGCTTCGAACGTGGCTCAGCCAATCAGAATCAAACACCGGAACTATCTGTTTTATAATGACATTTTGCTCATAAATATTATGCACAGTATTTATACACCATGGTGTTGTTCTGCGTTCATTTAAAAACTATGACAATAAAACTGACTATTCTCAGTGATGATTTTTTTTTTACAGAGCCAGTGGTGGTTTTGTAGGCAAACATTAATGCCTTGAATTTAATGCGAGCAGCTACTGGTAGCCAGTGCAGATTGATAAACAGAGGTGTGATGAGTGTTCTTTTCGGTTCGTTAAAAATTAATCTTGCTGCCACGTTCTGGATTAATTGTAGAGGTTTGATAGAAGTGGCTGGAAGACCTGCCAAGAGAGCATTGCAATAGTCCAGCCTGGACAGAACAAGAGCTTGAACAAGGAGTTGTGAAGCATGTTCCCAAAGAAAGGGCCTGATCTTCTTGATGCTGAATATTTTAATAATGCAAATGACAAAAATGTGTCTATATTCGTCTGTATTCATTACAGTAATGATAATTTGGGGGTATATGTGCTTAATAGTCATGAAATAATTGAGAGTTTTACCTTGTGAAGCAAAACGTGATTCTGGTTGGAACTCTGTTCTCATGAGACTCTTGATGTAGAGCAGCAATCTTGATCTGTGGCTGATCCGAGTCGTATCTGAACTACTGTTCATGTGAGAGTCATTCTGAGATGAAAACAGATAAACAAGCACTCACCCAAAGCCAGACGTGCGCTGAAGAACGTCAGCAGAAGATCACGGATCCACAGAGCATCTCTCATTTACAGCTTCGGACAGGTTTTCTGTTTCTCACGATTCATTTTTGTTTGGCTCAGATACAGACGAAGCTTAGATTTGGTGGATCAAAAACATGGTTTCACTCTCAGATTTCTGAACCAATAAAACAGCTTCACAGATATTGTTTAATAGTTCAATATATTAACAATAACTGAAATAAACAAAATTGCAAGACGATATAAAGTCAGAATTGTGAGACCTAAGCTTGCAATTCTGAGGAAGAAAAACGTAATTGTGATATAAAATGTCCTTTAAAAAAATAAATAAATAACCTTTTCTATTTTTTTTTTCCGTGACAAAAAAATAATAATTTGGAGGAAACCAAAAAATGTGGTTTGATTCTCAGATTTCGGAACCAATAAAACAGCTTCACAGATATTGTTTGAAAAATCTTCCTCATATTTGCTGACAACAAATGTTAAACAAAACATTTACAAATAACAATTTTGTCAGAAACACAATAATTTTTCGACACTGACCACAGCGTCCTGCGGTTTACTGCTTTGACAAAACTGTGGCAAAATGACACCAGAGAACCTAGCATAACAGTTCAATATATTAATAAAACCAGGAATAATCGATTCCACATAATGGAATAGATGAGAGTTTACCAGCATTTACACAACGACTTCAAACACGGCCATGTATCGACTGAGAAATCAGGAGCAAGTGCAGAGACAGAGACTCTTCCTTCAGATGGAGGATTATTCATTTCACTTTTGCTGTGAAAGGGCCTTTTTACAGTTGCCACAAATATGACTTTTAGGGTTTTTTGTTATTAAAAAAACGAACAAGCCCAGCTCAGGTGACAAAAAGTAACAATGCATTACTTTTCATAAAAAGTAACTTTTTTACGGAATAAAGCAATACTGTAATGCATTACTTTTAAGAAAAACACTGATGACAGATACTTCAGTGAAACAGGACACTTCTGCATCAGCTGCTCACTCTCATGCTGCTTCATGTAGAGCACAAATGGAGATGTTTAACAGAACGTTCACGCTGCTCTCCAAAAATGACAAAAAGCATCCTAAAAGGTCACAAAAAGCCTCGGCCAGCAACATCTTTGAGTTGCACAGATGAAAAAGTGCATTTGAAATCACATGATGGTGACAGAACCTTGGGTAACATTTTACTCGAGGCCTCTATGTATAATACAACATAAAGGTATTCATAATGTAAATGTAATGCATTGCATCTTTTGATAATTATTAAAACACAATATAATGTTTGCAGATATTTGCAACTTTCTTATCTCACAATTCTGATTTTTTTCTTGAAGTTTGGAGAAAAAAGTGAAAACTCCCGACATAGAATTGTGAGGAAAAAAAAAAATCAGAACTGCGGAAAAATTGTGAGGAAAAAACTTTTTTTGTGAGATATAAACTCAATTTAAAGGGGGGAAAAAAACTGAATTCAAAGATATCAATTCAGAATTGTAAGAAAAACAGTCAGAACTAAGAAAAAAAAAAGAAAAAGTCAGAATAACGAGATGTTAACTCGCAATCACGAGAAAAAAAGTAAGAATAGTGAGATAAAAAGTCGAAACTACCTTTTTAATTTTGTTGCGGAAATTCTGCAAGATGTAAACTCAAAAATAAGAGAATCTTCTTTGCAATTCTGTGAGGAACAATGTTCAAATTGTGAGATAAAAGGTAGAAATTACTATTTTTTTTTTTGTGGAAAAAAACGGTAATAAAAAAATAAAAGTCCATACATTCGACTCCGCAGGTGTTTCTCGCAGTGAAAGCCCTTTTTTCCAACGAAACGCATGCAAATAAAGACCACGAGCTCAGCTTCAGTTGGGATGTGTTTTATATAAATAATACTTAAAAAATATTTAACGGGAAAAACAAACCAAATAGGGAAAATGAACCCAGACGTCCAAACTCTCCGTCCACATCACAGCATGCAGTTTAGTTTTAACATCATCATCTGCAGCATATTTCTCTACAGTAACTGATCTCTGTGTCATTCTTTACATCAAACCATCTGCATCTTTAACGGCAGGTAATGACTTTAAATTAAAAGACGAAGGTTTAAAACTAAACGGAAGGTCGGGTCCGATCCGAGAGCGCCAGAGAAACCGAATGGATGATCCTCAGCCACGGAGGAGGATTGTGGGAAACGTCTCCACTCTTTAACAGCATTCTCAAGTAAAGTCAGTCCTGGCACTGTGTTTGAGTTCATCACCACCGCAGAAATGTGCGTCGAAAAAAACAGCGTTTAGAACTGACTGCTGGGAAACGACATAAACCTGCAGAGAACAGAGAGAGAGAGAGAATGAGCGCTAATGAGGAAACGTCTCGTTAAGAGAAGAACTCTTACTCAGGATTTGTTATTGTTATAATGTGTTCAATTACTTGCCGTTTCTTTGTAATTATTATTTGTGAAATGTACTAGTGAAAACACCATCATATCGCATCCCAAAATCAAAATGAAAACAAAAACGATGTACATAGAGAAACTATGCAAAATGTAATTATGAAAATATGACATTTTACTGTAATGTAAAAAAATATATAAATATATTTATTAATGTTAGTAATGAAAAATATATTTATTAACATTCAAATGAAAATATGTAACTGATGTGGAAAAAATATATTTATAAATATATAAAAAATATGATATACACACACACACATATATATATATATATATATATACAGTATATATTTCACTGCTAATTCTCATTAATGTCTCATCTCATCTTCCTCCACTTATCCGAGGCCGGGTCGTCTGTCAACCTACTGTTCCATTTTTCCAGTAGCCCCTCACTGCAGAACAAAGATCCAGGGAGCAGGGTTGGATCCACATCTAGGGGGTGGAGATGGTAGGTTTAGGTATATATAAGGTGGGAGGAATTGGATCTGGATCCAACCTCGCCCCCTGGATCTTGTGTTCTGCAGTGAGAACCATCTCCATTTTTCCTCTCACTCGTGAACAAGACCCGAGAAACTTAAACTCATCCACTTGAGGGAGCAACGCACCACTTCCACCACGGAACACTGCTTCCCCCTTCTGAGCCACCGGACGGTTTGCCAGAATCTCTTTGAGGCCGAAAGTCTTCCTCTATGGCCTCACCGAACTCCTCCCAGGCCCAAGTTTTTGCCACGGCGACTGCCAGAGCAGCGTTCTGCTTGGCCTGCCGGTACCCGTCAGCGGCTTCAGGAGTCCCATGGGTCAGCCAGACCCGATATAACACCTTATCCAGCTTGACAGGATCCCTTACCTCCGGTGTCCACCACCGCGTTCGGGGATTGCTGCCATGACAGGCGTCAGAGACTTCACAGCCGCAGCTCCGAACTGCCGCCCCGACAAAGGAGGTGTGGAACATAGTGCATTCAGACTCAATGTCCCCAGTCACCATCGGGACCTGGTTGAAGCTCTGTCGGAGGTGGGAGTTGAAGACCTCTCTGACGGGGGCCTCTGCCAAACGTTCCCAACAGATCCTCACTATGCATTTGTGCCTGCCAGGTTTGTCCAGCCCTCTCCCCTGCCGTCGAATCCAACTCACCACCAGGTGGTGATCAGTTGACAGCTCAGCCCCTCTTTACCCGAGTGTCCAAGACATATGGGCGAAGATCAGAAGAAACGGCTACAAAGTCGATTATCGACCTCCGACCTAGGGTGTGTCCTGGTGCCACGTGCACTGATGGACACCCTTATGCTTGAACAGAAGAAACGGCTACAAAGTCGATTATCGACCTCCGCGACCTAGGGTGTCCTGGTGCCACGTGCACTGATGGACACCCTTATGCTTGAACATGGTGTTCGTTATGGACAAACCGTGACTAGCACAGGTATCCAATAATAACTCACCACTTGGGTTCAGATCAGGGAGGCCGTTCCTCCCAATCACGCCCCTCCAGGTGTCACTGTCACAGCCTACGTGGGCGTTAAAGTCCCCCAGTAGAACGACAGAGTCCCCAGTGGAAATGCTTTCCAGCACGCCCACCAGGGACTCTAAAAAGGCTGGGTACTCTGCACTGCCGTTTGCCACATAAGCACAAACGACAGTGAGAAACTGTTCCCTGACCCGAATGCGCAGGGAGATGACCCTCTCATTCACCGGGGTGAACTCCAACACATGGCGGCTGAACTGGGGGGGCTATTAACAAGCCCACACCAGTCCGCCGCCTCTCACCCTGTGCAAAGCCAGAATAGTGGAGAGTCCACCCTTGGTCGAGAAGAGTGGTTCCAGAACCCAAGCTGTGAGTGGAAGTGAGCCCGACTAGGAGTTGGCACCCGAGGTTTGGGTCGGCCAGGCACTCGGCCCCGACCACTGCCCAAATCACAACACACCGGCCCCCTACGGCCTCTCCGGCAGGTGGTGAGCCCACCGAAAAGCGGCTCCATGTCATGGTCACGCATGCGAGCCGCCCCCCCCCAGGCCTGGCTCCAGGGTGGGGCTCCGGTGACCCCATACCGGGCAGGGTGGACGAAAGCCTTGATTTAATAGTCATCATAAGGGGCTTTTGAAACTCATTAATGTCCCAATGCAAAAAAAATAATAATGGTGTTAAAATAGGCTTGGTTTTCTTTATATGAATTATAATTTCTTTTTGGTGAAATATGAACCAATCATTTGCCCTCTCTTTCACCTGTAAACATCAGCGTGATCTGTTTTTGATTCATTACATGCCATTCTCGTTACACAACGCGATATATGCGAGGTGAAAGTGTAAACAGGTTTCCATCCAACTGCATCCAATCGAGCAGAGCTGAAGATGAAAGCGCTAAATATAGACGCACGCAGAGAGAGAAGAGTCTGAGTCACCAGCTCCATCAGCGAGAGAGAGAGAGAGAGAGAGAGAGAGAGAGAGATGATGTGATGGAGGGAGACTGAGTCATCACATTCACTGCGGCATCTCATCAGCATGAGAGGAACCCCCCCTGAACACACACTCTCTTTCTGATTACCATCAATGTTGAAAACACTACCAAAAACAAAAATAACACTTTTATTCAAGTACGCATTAAATTGATCAAAAGTGACAGTAAAGACATGTATGGTGTTACATTTCAAATAAATACTGTTCTTTTGAACTTTCTATTCATCTGTGAATCCTGAAAAATAAAATGCATCACAGTTTCCACAAAAATATGAACCGTTTTCAACATTGACAATAATGTTAACTAAGGAAATTAAAATGAAATAATGTAATTATTAATACAAATTTTTAATTAATATAAATGTTAATATCAATGTAAAATTAAACATTTTTTAAATTAATATGCTCGATTAGAAATGTTTCTTGAGCAGCAAATCAGCATATTAGAATGATTTCTGAAGATCATGTGACACTGAAGACTGGAGTAATGATGCTGGAAATACAGCTGCGCATCACAGAAATAAATAGCTGTTTTCTATGTGAATATCTGTTAAACTGTAGTTTTACATTCTAATAACATTTCACTATTTTTACTGTATTTTAAATCAAACAAACGCAGCCTTGTTGAGAAGAGGCTTCTTTCAGAAACATTAAATATCTAACTGAGTGACCCCATAACGCTCACAGTGATCCCCATGACGAGAGTCTCACCTGTACAGAGGAGCGCAGGTGTGCAGCGCAGCACCGGGTCATTGCTGCTTGCAGGTGGAAAGCTTGCGGATCTTGCTGGCAGCGGAGATGCCTTTTCTGGAGGGATTGGAGGAAGAGCTGGAGCGCCGCTCGGATTTGGGCTTGAGTGCAGTCGACTCTGTCCCGTTCACACACACCGGTTTGGCCACGGCACAGGTGCGCTCCGGAGCGCGCTCTTCTTCCTCATCCTCCTCATCCTCCGGGACCTGCCCTGTTCAAACCCACACAACGGGAGCGTTAGTGACCAACACACCAGCAACGATAACCAACTGTGTGGAACCAGAGAAACTAACACACACTTAAAATTAAAGGCTTACAATTAAAAAGTTCACTGAAAAAAATAGGCGTAGAAACAATTGAAATTGCTAGTAAATTTCACAAATAATAAACAAAAAATCAGCAAGTAACACATTGAATTAAACATGAAATTTTAAAGTAGAAAAAGTGAATCAGCATTTTCTTGTAAAATGTACTCCAATAATCTGTTTTATTTATTTATAAAATAAAATATTTAAATGTGACAACTTGCCCCAAACACACATTAATGCAAAAATGTCCTTAACAGTTCAAATCCACCTTCACACACACACACACACACACACACTATAGAGTAGACCTCTATTTTTCATATACGACTAGTTATAAATACTGTAACCCAATCATAACCTACACACTAACCCTAACAGAAAACTCTATGCACTTTTAATTCTTAAAAAAAGAAGTTTTGTATTTGTATAAATGTAATATTATTAAAATTAAATTTATTAAAAATAAAACAATTGAAAAATAATCTACTTTATTTTTATAATATTTTTACAATCAAGGACTCCCCAAAATAAGTTTTGTCAGGTTTAAAATCACTTCTAGGTACAAATTTGTGCCCAAATTATGACTAGGTACAAACACACACACACGCACACACACACACACTCTCTCTCACACACACACACACACACACACACACACACACACTCTCTCT